GTGTGGGTGAGTTGGTGGGGATGGGGAATAGGGTGGGAAAGTTGAAAAAGAGTTTTGAAAAATATTTTCTCTTCTCTTGATAGGGAAAAACATTTTCCTCCAATTGGAGAAAAGTAAATTCACGAGTAAAATGTTTTCCAAAACATTTAAGTCACCCAAACATAAAAAAATTGAAAAATATTTTCCTTCGTAACGAACACACACTAAGTGAGTAAGTATCGAGAAGTATTATCATATCATAAATATAAGTATAGTCATCCTCGACGCATTCAACATCTAGCAATAATAAAATGCTACAATTAGAAAAAATATGATATTTAATACACACATTTATTATCAAGGAAGCAAAATGAGGAGATATAGTTCAATAGTGCCTACTTTTAATGTAATAAGCCACAACAATGGAACTCCAATATATATATATATATATATATATATATATATATATATATATATCTACTTAAGTAGAAATTTTTTGAGCCAAAGCGCAGAAAGTTTGGGATATCTTTTTAAATTGTCTCTGTAATCAATAAAATTAATCCCAAATCTCTGTGTGTAACCTGAATTCCATTCAAAATTATCCAACAACGACCATGCGAAGTAACCCTTGACAATCACACCATCCCTGTTACAACAAAAGTATCAATATCAGCATCACTTTTTCAAGTATATAATATTGCTTTTCCGACTAATTCTCAAAATTAGCACACAAAAAAAAAGGCTTTTGTAGAAAATCTAAGATTAGATAGCAGTAAAAATAAACCGTATACATTTGATACGAACACACAACATTAACAAATTTTCTTAAGGAAAATATTCAAACTAAAGCTATTTTTGTGAGGGGGATATATTTAGGCAAAAATTAATTGACTCACTTAAGGGCAGCATTAAGGGCCAAGAGATGACGGCGGTAAAAATGTACTCGTTGGAAATCATTGACTCCTTGCTGAACTTCGGTAACATTAGCATCACTCATTCCTGATAAAAAATAAAACATTAAAATGGATTTTTGTACAATTGTATAAGAGACCAATTGTAGATTAGTTCTTTGTCATACCATTCTCGGTAACGTAAATTATGGGATTCTTGTATTTTTTCTTCGTGTAGACCAAAAACTTATGAAGTCCTTCTGGGACCACGAAGAAAACACTCGAGCCCGTCTATAGTTAACATTCAAGAAAAAAATGAGAAAAATAAAAGAAAGAAAAAAAGTATAAGAGTCAAAAGATAACGTTCGCTTGCGAGGAAAAAGGTTTAGTTGTTTACCGGTTCACCAATGAGTTTTCCATTTCTTTCCGCTGCAAAATATTTTTTTTAAAAAGGGAGAAGGAAAGGTTACATATATAGGAAAAATTAAGATTAAAAAGGATTTTCAATCACTATTTTAGGTCATGCATGAAAGACGTTTAGAACTCACTTGTTTCATTTACTTGAGAATCCCTTGAATAGCTAATGTTCACTTTATATGGAGAAACAATATTGGATGCATAATTCGAAGTGTAGTAATTTAGTCCCAAGAAATCATAGGAACCTTTCACCATCTCAGCTTGCTCTGTCGTGAATTTAGGTAAGCGATCTTGCACGAGTCTACGCATATTTTTTGGATAGTCACCATAGGTTAATGGATCTATAAACCTACATTCAAGAAAATAATAGATATTTAAAGTCTTAGACTCAATGAATGAGATTATTTGGCTTTAGTAGGATTAGTAATATAGCTTCACCCAAGCAAATTCTAGGGTTACACAAATAGTCACTTTCTTGGTGTATTTTGAAGTAGGTCACTTTTTCAAAATTGGACCAGTGATATGGAGTTCGAAAGTGGTACCTGGTTTGAAGTCTAAAATTCAAAAGTAATTTTCACTCACTGATCTAAATTTGGAAAAACAGCCGACTTTTAAGTGTATAATGCCAAAAAAAGTGACCATCGTCTAAATAATACACTCTTTGGTCAATTTATGTATCATATTTTTCTTTTTGCTCTGATCGAAAAAGAATATCATATTTTCTTATTTAAAAACAATTTAACTATAACCTTCCCATTATACCCTTAGTGAATTAATTTCTAGCCTCACAAACTTCTATGGTTTATTTTAGACCACAAGTACAAAAAATCTTTCTTTCTTTCTTTATCTTCGTGCGGAGTCAAATTAAACACCCCCGCATAATTAAATTGGGACGGAGGAAATACCATATTCTATAGGTTAAAAATGTACTAACCATCCAAACATGAAGTCGATGGCTCGCTTAGCTGCTTTCGCATCTTCTTTAGTCTTGGAGTATTGTTCAAACCAATGAGACACCAGCACTATTCCTATCTCACCCTTTTGTAGTGCCTATGTAATTTATCAAACGCAAAAAAAAAAAAAAAAAAAAAAAGATTATTTTCTGTGAGAAGACTACTAAATAAATTTCCAGTTGAGATGACTTGAATATAATATCATGACTCAAAAAGGAAAAAACACGTCCATTTACCTTGTATTTAGTTCTATATACTTTAGCTGCTTCAGCATGAGCAAGAAGCATGTGGTGGCCAACTATATAAGGTTCAGTTGCAGAGTCCCCAGCAACGCAACTATTGTTCATCCAAGCAGAACATCTTCCGGGTGCGAATCGGCCCGAGTCGTAGCCAATAGAGGCATAAGTCCATGGCTCGTTGATCGTGGTCCAAAGCTTAATCTTATCGCCAAATTCTTTGAAGCAAAGGTCAGCATAATCGCGAAAATCGCTCCTGCAAGTGAAGTGTTATCTTTTTCAACTTCAATTGTGTGTTCATTTTTATATATGTTGGTGAAAATTCAAAGTCATTGAATTCATCATACAATGATATCCAATCTATCTCACAATTTGAGGGATTCTGACTTGCTTAAAAGTTTCTTGAACTCTTCACGAAAGGATCTTAGCACCAGAATTCATGACTGTTACTGTATGAATATTCGAAGTTTTTTGACTAATTGAATTAAGCTAAAGTCATGTACAAAATGTAAGGAGAGATGTAAAAGAAAATAAGTAATTCTTACAAATGAAGCTAAAGCATTAATTGGATTAAATTTAATAAATAAAAGAAAAAGAATAACAATAGATGTGATGTTTATTCTTGTGTTTGATGAGTGATGTGTCTAACAGGGTGTCCCTTTTTTGGTCACCATTTATATTTGTACACTTTTTTAAACTTTTTGCAAATTGTAACTTCCCACTTTACAAGCAATCGCTCAACTTGGTTGGGAACTTTAGACCTGGTGGTCTACAATTGTGGAATAACTACAAAAATCTATGACCAACTTTAGTCTAGTCCAAAATCAAATGGTACAAATTTCCCATTCTTTTTAAATCTGTAGCGCAAAGGTTATATTTGCAAATGTTTTACATCAGGGCAAAATATAAACAATGACTCAAAAGAGGCTATTTGTGCAGTTCCGCCCTTTCGCACAACTTAACACAATTAAGATGGTATGTAAATGCCAACATACTCTATCTATTTTTTGGGTAGTAAAACCCCTTTTTGACTTGATCACAAGTGGGAACTCCAATGCTTTTTCCTCTCTATATTGAAAATAGATTTCAGAGTTGACCTACCTCATTTGCAACTACAGATTGAGACCAAGGTAGATCCATCCATTGAGTCTTGTGGATTTGGCCCAAATTTTAGTTATAACATTTTTCTCTTACAACTTTTAGCAATTTTGAGAATTCAAAGAGGTTAAAAAGTAGTACTAACAAAGAGGTACGGTTAGTAAGATTTTAGTACTAATAATACCATTTCTGAATCTGATAATTTCACTTTTATCAGAAATTAGAAATACACATAAAAATAATAATTAATTGTTCCAAGCATTGTCTTAATAATGTAGGTGAGATTCACTTACACAATATGAGGGCTTAAAAAGCCAAGATACTCATCTTCAAGGGCTTGAGGTGTATCCCAATGGAAGAGTGTGACCAAAGGCTGTATTCCTGAGGTTCAGAGCAAAAAGTGATCTCAACTTATTCATTGGAAATAGAATTATTTATTAAAGAAGAGTAGGAGAGATATTTTACCATTTGCTAGGAGCTCATTGATAAGATTCTTGTAGAAGGTAATTCCCTCTTGGTTTACTCCCTTACTTTGCTTCCCATCTCATGTATATCACACATAAGAATTAGCGCAATTTAACTATGAAGAAGTGGAAATGTAAAAATAAAATTATATTGTTTAAGTATTTAAATAGAAGCCTCTATGATTGAACAAGAACGTAACTACGCTAGCAAAGGGAAAATAAATAGCTATTCAACAAAAAGAGGCCGCAGAGCTGGCTCAACCCCCAGGCCACTAAAGCGAAAGCTTTAGGACCCAAAAATAGGAGGCCCCAAAATATATTCCTGTCTTATGTTTATAATTTACAACATATGTCTTATCTATAAATATAAAATAATTACTAGTAATAATTATGATTAGTTATAAGATTTTTTCCCCGATCATTTACAGCCTATACTTTCAAACAATCATTAGTCACATAGTTACATATTTTACATTGTTTTTAATAGATGTGCTTGAGATAATTTTGAATAGAAGTGGTAGACAAATTAAATATGTCGTTACTTTATACTTATTTTACTCTAATTTGAATCACTTTTGTTTACAACTTTAGTTTTGTATAATTTTTTCTTTTCAGGCTACCGTAAACATGTTTCAAGTAAATTAGCTTGTGAAAAAGCTCCAAATTAGAATAAAAGTATTTAGCACATGTTGTTGCTTTGGAAGGCCGTCATCAAAATTATAATTAATTTTTATTTAAGATCAACAAAGTTTCAATAAATATTAAGTGGATTGGTTACATTATCAATTGAAAAAAAAAATTACTCTATAGAAATTCATCATAAAGTTTTGTTAACAATTTTGCATTTGAAAAAGCTAATAAATAAACTTCGAAAAGAAAAATATGAGAATTTTATTAAATACGTCTAAAGCCTCATGTTAAGATTTGGCTTTAGGCTAATTACTATATTGAGCCGCCTCTTTAAGAGGGAAGAGAAAATTGCAGCGATACTAGAAATTAATGGTTATCAAATGTAGGAAATATACGTAGTTGTTCTCAAATATCATTAAATTGAATTTACTTTTAGTTGTTCTTAACACTACTCCCTCCGATCCAAAATAAGTGATTTTTTTGATGTTTTCACACAAATTAGGAAATCCACCTTTTAGCATTAATTAGCAATGGAATTGACCATATTAACCTTTACTATCTCACATAAACACTCCTAACACATATTCCAACACAATTTACTTCAAGGACAATGTAGGAAAAAAATAATTAATTCATTCTTGAAATCTGAAAAAATCACTTATTTTGGACCACAAGAAAAAGGCCAAAAAATTACTTATTTTGGACCGGAAGGAGTACACTACAAGATCTTATTTTAAAAAAATATAATAATTATGGGGCACGGACAAGATGTTCTTAGGGACTTAGTAGAGTATTCCAAATATTTTAGCGTAATATTTCACACAAATTATCCTTTTTGCGAATCTAAAAGGGAACCAAGGCCAGTTGAAAAGTCAAAAACTCTAAACCATATTGTAAAAAATTGCAACTGGCAATTGTTACTTGCTAAACCATATTCCAAGTTGTTCCCTTCTTGTTCATTTTTGTATTTGATTCACAAGCGCCTTTGAGAAATCAGATTCTGCATATGCGCTTGATTTGGCAATAACCTAAAGAATATAAATTTTATACACTAAAGTAATCACAAGCAAATATATATAATAAATATTAATTAATAACATAATAAAAATAATAATTAACGCATTATAACAAGTTACAATATACGAATATAGTAAATTTGTTACAGTATCACTGTATCTAACTTAAAACTTTATCCAATCATAAGACTTGCTCTATCTAACAGTGTATGTCAAATTTGACATGCTCTGATCTCTATAAAGCCGAGTCAAAGTATTCAACATAGTCATAATAGCCAACTTCTGCATATATTGATTAGTGTGTCAAGCCGCGAGATGCTAGTTAATAAATTTCTTTTTTTTTTTTTTTCCGTTTTTGGTCTGTGTATTATATTATTTTTATTGTTACTCTGAGTTATGTACTTTTCCTAACAACAAGGCAAGCCGCAGAGCCAGATATAGGAATTAAAAGAATTATCGTACTTCTTTTAGCGAAAAAGAAAAATATTACTATTAATCACCACAAAAAAATACAATTAAAAACAGCAAAGAGAAACAAAAGAAAATTCTTCTATCCATACCTTGTCTCTACTATTCTGCCTTGGATTCAAACTTTCCCATTCAGATATTTACACTCCTTTATTTGACTTCTTATAGCATGGGGGCAAGGGAAACCAATAACCTAGACAACTGGTTTGCTAACATAATTTAAATTCTTTACGATGACAACGGTTTCATGTAATATGCAATTAGTGGTAAGGTGCTTTTGAAATAACAGAAACTTGATAATAATTAAGTAGTCTTACATGGTAAAATTCTTGACCATGAGATAGAAAATCTAAAACCATTTAGTCCTTCAAATTTCATTAGCTTTATGTCTTCCTACAAAACACATCATGTAATAGAAGAGGATTATCTCCATGAGTAATAAAAGCTTCTACTTCATTGTGTTTTCGATTGACTATAATTAAAACTTAAAGTAATTAATAAGATTGATACCTTGTAACGATGGTAAAAATCTACAGCTACGTCACCATTTCTATGATCAGTTATTCTTTCTGCAAACATAAAAATGATTTGTTTTAGAAAAACAACCTTCACAAAACTTTCAATCAAAACAGTAACATATTATTTCGATAATTTCAAAGCACTTTTTATGTTTGTCTTTTTAATGTTTTCTCTGTTTAGGCTTGGACAGAAAGAGAGATACCAGATTGTTTATGTGTATAGGTATCCCAGATACTTGGGCCTCTACCATTTTTATTCGCTGCTCCTTCATACTACAAATAAATAACAAGCACTGCTATGCATAAAAATGGAGCTTAAATCAATTGTATTATTAAGATAAGATATTACTTAGGATTCAATTCCAAACCTGATAAGCAGATGAGGCTGTTCCAAATATGAAATCCACTGGGAAACTGCTACGATTAAATGGAACAAATATCTTATGGCCTGGAAAATTTGCAGTTACAGTGAGCTCAATCTGAGCAAAGAAACTGAAAACTAGAACTGAGAGAAATAGCAAGAAAGATCTATGATGATCCATATAGCTAAATTAAAATTGATTAATTCACAGGGACTCAAAGAATTAGCCATTTAAACATATTACGTGATTAATTAATTCGGCTTCAAACAATAAGATAAAGGGCTATTGATAACTACTGGTCTGTCCAAAATAAGAAATGAAAACCAACTTTGTCTTGTTTCACCGCTCTTCTGTGTAGAAAAACTTATCCAACTTGTCTTACTGATGACTATTGACTAAGGACTAATGACCTATCAGAATTTTATGATTATTATTTATGGCTGCTTGAAAACTTACTTTTAACTTATTATCTTAGATTAGGACATAGAAGAACATTAATATATAATGATGAATTGGAATATTCAAACATAAGCGTTTGTCGATATAACGTGTACTATCGATTGCCCCAAAATTACGTTAAGGGATAATCTTACATAACGTGGTTCATGGTTTGAATATGTGAAACACTATATTGAAGCAAGTGTAAATAGAGAGCAAAATACTAAGCAAAATCTTTACTTTATATCTTAAAAATGAAGAAGTGGAACTGTTCGCTATTGAGATGAAAGAGTTTCTCCAACAAAGGTATAGGAATTGTTGGCATCACATAATAAAATAATACATACCATCTTGCTAGCAATGGCGGATCTAGAATTTTTAAGTCATGGGTGCTGAAACATTATTTATCTGAAAATTACTATTACGATCGGGTGCTCAAGTAATATATTTGTAAGAATTACTAGCTTTGTATATAAATCATAGTTCATCACTCCAAAAGTAACGGGTGCTTGAGCACCCATGACCATCAATGTACATTCGCCACTGCTTGCTAGCACCAATATGAATCTGAACTAGAAAGGATTTGGGCCACTGTAAATGTAACGGCCCGGCCGGTCGTTTCATGAGTTACAACCCCGTTTTTTCTATTTCAGCCTCCTTATGTGTTGTTCAGTTGTATTTCATCGTATCGTGTTGGTTGTTCTGTGTTCGGAGTGGTCTTGGATTGGAACGAGACACTTAGTCTCTTATTTAGAAGCTTAAGTTGAAAAAGTCAATCAGATGTTGACTTATGTGTAGAAGATCTCGGAGGTGATTTTGGACTTAGGAGCGTGTTCGGAATGTAATTTGGAGGTCCGTGCTAGATTTAGGCTTGAATTGGTGAAATCGGAAATTTGGCGTTTTTCTGTCGGCAGTGGAAATCTTGATATCGGGGTCGGAATGGAATTCCGGAAATTGGAGTAGGTCTGTTATGTCATTTGTGACGTGTGTGCAAAATTTCAGGTCATTCGGGCGAGGTTTGATAGGTTTCGGCATCGTTTGCGGAATTCTGAAGTTTGGAAATCCTTAGGTTTGAATCCGAGGGTGATTTGGTGTTTTGATGTTGTTTGGAGTGTTCCGAAGGTTGGAACAAGTTGAATGGTGATATGTGACTTGTTGGCATGTTTGGTTGAGGTCCCGAGGGCCTCGGGTTCATTTCGGAAGGTTGACGGATTAGGGATAGGATTTGAGGGAGTGCTGAAGATTTCCTTCAGCTGTCATGACCGCACCTGCGGAGTGGGGACCGTAGGTGCAAGGTTCGCAGAAGCAGGAGAGCAGTTGCAGAAGCGGCCAAGGCCAAGGAAGCCAAGAGCCGCAGGTGCGGAAGGAGGAACGCACCTGCGTGACCGCAGGTGCGGGTATTCGGACGCAGATGTGGTTAGGGGAGAATAAGTGAAAACCGCAGATGCGGTTGGTTTGACCGCAGAAGCGGCATAGCAGAAGCGACTTACGGCCGCAGAAGCGGAAGTTTTGGGCAGAAAAATATATAAGTTCTCCTTCGCGAATTTCAGTCCATTTTCCATCATTTTTGAACGAGATTGGAGCTCCAAGCAGTGATTTCAAGAGGGAATCGAGGGGTATCAGTGAGGTAAGCTACTTGGGCTTTATTAATTGTGTTTGTGATGATTTTTCCACTGTCTATTCATGGAATTTAGTGGTAATTTGGAGAAAAGTAAAGGTGTTAGGACTTGAGTTTTGGAGAGCTTTGATTGGGGATTTGAGGGACCATTTGAGGTCGGGTTTTGATGATTTTGGTATGTATAGACTCGGGAGTGAAAGGAGTTTCTAGTTTTATAATTTTTATCGGGATTCGAGACATGGGCCCGGGGGCGGGTTTGAGCAAATTCGAGATTTTGGGTCTAATTTGATAATTTTCGTGTGGGTTTCATTCCTTTAGCATGTATTGATGATAATATACTGATTTTGGTTAGATTCAGAGCATTTGGAGGCCGGATCGAGAGGCAAGGGCATCGCGGGTTAGAGCTTTAGCTTGGTTTGATGTAAGTAACGCTTCCAAACTTGATTCTGAGGGTTCGAAACCCCGAACTATGTGTTCTATGATTAAATACTGAGGTGACTCAAATGCCAAGTGACGGGCGTGTGGGAGTGCACCGTGAGGATTGAGGCCTGGATCATTCCATGGCACCGCTTAGTGATCTTTCTTGCTGATAATTGTGTAGGGATTATGTGACTAAGTTAATGAGCTGTAAATCATGCTAATTACCATGTTAAGGCTTCACGCCGATACTGTTGAGACCCGAGAGGTCGTTTCTTGATGCCATATCATTAGCTTCATTGATATTCTGTACTCAGTCTTGTTCATGCATATCATATCATGTCTTAATCTCGGTTATTGTTATTTGGCACATTATATCATTGTTCCGGGCTAGTTTCTTGGTATTGTGAGCCCGTGTGTGTGAGATTTGAGAGTTATGACTGAGTGAGTCGGAGAGCCTGAATTTGAGTGACAGTTATGGGATCAGGCTGCACGCCACAACAGATTATTGATTATGCCTTCATTGGCTAGTGATAGCGCTTGGGCTGAAAGGAGCCCCTCCGGACCCAGTGAGCGCGGATGATATTATAGAGGGATGGATTTCCCTGGACATGGATTTTTCCGAAGTACTGATACCTGGAGATGGATTTCTCCTCAGGGTTGGATTACCCTTGTTCCTCGGTACCGGTTGACTTGAGGTCAGTGTTGTATATATATTCCGGGATGGATTTCCCTGGGCTGGATGGCCATATGCGATACTGAGTCGTTGAGCACTTGAGAGTGGGAGCGCATGGTGCATTTTCATACATTTCTAGCATTGACATGCAGAGTTTTTACTGAACTTTATACTTCACATTGTTCGGATTAGCACTTTTTCTTTATTGTCAAGTTAAAAATATTGAATTGCCAGCATGCCTACTTTCCTGTACAATTTGTGTTATAATTGCTGAGGTTTAGTTCATCACTACCTATCAGTCCATTGTTCGGACTTGTTACTTATTGAGTTGGTGTACTCACGTTATCCCTGCACCTTGTGTGCAGGTATCTCAGGGCACGGTAGCGGCTGTTGACTATTCTAGTCGCGAATTATCACTGGAGATAGCGAGGTAGTTGCCTGGCGATCGCAGTTCCGCCTTTCTCCTTCTTTATCTTCCTTCTAGTACATTTTGGCTATTTCCAGACTATTTTGGTCTTGTTTTTGTTTCGGAACTATTGTAGCATTGCTCATAACTTAGTGACACCCGAGGTCGGGCTTTTATTTTCCGCATTTTGGTTTTCGACTTTATATCTTTTATAGAATTTCAGTTGAAAATGGTATTATTTGAGCTTTAAATGAAATGTTGAACCGTTTTGAAAATGTGTCGGCTGGCCTAGTTCCATAATAGGCGCCATCACGACCGGGTTGTTTTTGGCGTCGTGACAAGTTGGTATCAGAGCCTAGGTTACATAGGTCTCACGAGTCATGAGCGGGTTAAGCAGAGTCTTGCGGATCGGTACGGAGACGCCTATACTTATCTTTGAGAGGCTGCAGAACCTTTAGGAAAAACTTCACATTCTTGAATTCCCGTTGTGCGAATCTGTTGATTCTGGTAACTAATTTGTTATTCTATTCTCTCACAGATGGTGAGGACACGTGCTACCGGTCAGGACGGATGACCACCAGTACCACCAGTAGGGGCAGGGTTGTAGCCCGCCCAGCAGCTAGGGCAGCACCTGCAGATCCACCAATCGCCCCAGTTCATGACCAGATCCCACTTGCGGATGCTCCAGCATGACCATCTCAGGCACCGGCTGTGCCTTTTGTTATTCCAGGTCTTCAGGAGACCTTGGCTCAGATCTTGACCGTGTGCACTAGTCTTGCTCAGGCGGTCGCAGTTTCTATAGCAGCCATTTCTCAGGCTGGGGGAGGCACTCAGACTCTCGCCGCCCGTACACCCGAGCAAGTTGTTCAGGGATTGCAGACATCGGAGGCACCATTAGCCCGGTCGGTTGCAACTGCTCAGGATTATATGGTACCATTTATGCCTGATGACGAGCAGCGTCGCTTGGAGTGGTTTGGTAGACTTCAGCCTCCGACTTTCAGTGGTGCAGAGGGCGAGTATGCCCAGGGTTTCTTGGACAAGTGTCAGAGGATTCTGCATACAGCGGGTATCCTGGAGACCAGTGGGATCTCATTTACTACCTTTTAGTTTTCTGGAGCTGCCTTCACTTGGTGGGAGGCTTATGAGAGGCGTAGGCCTGTTGGTGTAGCGCCCCTTACCTGGCATCAGTTCTCCATTCTCTTCCCAGAGAAGTATGTACCGCATTCCCGCAGAGAGGAGCTGCGCAGGCAGTTCGAGCAATTACGTCAGGAGGATATGACCGTGATGCAGTATGAGATGAGATTCTCCGAGTTGGCCCGTCATGCTATCTGGCTGGTTCCCACGGATAGGGAGAGGATTAGGAGGTTCGTTGATGGCCTCACTTATCAGCTACGGATTTTTCTGACCAGAGAGAGGGTATCTGGCGCTTCTTTTGAGGAGGTGGTCGACATTGCTAGAGAGATTGAGTTAGTTCGCCGCCAGGAGAAAGCTGAGAGGGAGGCCAAGAGGCTTTTGGGATCTGGTAGTTTTGGTGGTGTGCCTTCTGGGAGTCAGTTTCAGCACGGTAGAAGTCGTCCATTCAGGCATGCTCACTCTGCTTGCTTGGGTCACAGTGGTGGATCATCTTGCCATGGTTCTCACAGTTCACATCAAGGTCACTCATCTCTCAGTGCCCTTCCAGCTCAGAG